GCGCGTCGGTTTTGGAACAAGTCCATTTCGCTCAGCTGCGATGCGGCGATGAGAGGCGCCGATTCAGAAAATACGTCGGTGACATCGGCGCAGTAAAACCTACCGGCACACCCCAACTCGTCGCCGCTAACGCTCCCATCTCCAACTGCCGAGAGAACTTCCGGTTCCGGAAGAAAGCGTACGTCACGGCTTGTTTTGCGGTCAAGAAAAAGTCGATATTTCATTAATTTTTTGTGTAGAAGTTAATAAACCGAGACGAAAACGGATGCCTGTTCGGCATTCAGTGAACATTGACGGTTTAATGTAAAAGTTATCTGGAAAAAGTAAAAAAGTCATTTCATGGTCCCTTTAATGAAACTTTTCTATTCTCGAATTTCGCTTTATTTTAAAAGTTATAGGCAAATTAAAATTAAAAAAAAAACAAGCAAAATAACCTCCCTCATGACGTCCTTGGTTGCTTGAGAGTGGGCGTGAACTAGAGGAGGGATAGTGAGCTTAGCGAGCGCAAACGGCTGCCGCACTCCGTGTCGACGGCGCGAGAGGGCGCCACAAAAGCGTGTTCTGGATAGAAAGGTAGACGCTTAAATATGATTGCAGGGCCCCTTTAAGCTCGGAATGAGTAATCGGTTGTGTATACAGCACATTTTGAGTGAATGAAGTTGACAAGTGACAGGTAGGAGTAAACTGTCATTAGCACGTGCTCAGGCTGGTGCGCTGGGAAAGCGGCTAGCTTGTGCTTTGGCCTTCTAAAAATCTGTTTCGAATAAAAAAATATCGCCCTGTGAGGAGCTTTATCACATCCATATATATAGTGTGGCTAATTTGGGGCTGTAGCCTAAGCAAGCCATAATTGTAAAATCTTTGTAAGTAGTCCTCAGGGAATGTTCCCTGAATGTATAGCGATGTACCCGCGCCACGTTCTGAGGAGATTGAAAGGATGTCCCTGCATCAGTTTGCAACATTTCAAAAAAGTTACAAGTTCTTTGGATGTTCTTAGCACCTTGTTAGGATATTTGAATGTTGACTGAATGCCCTGGTAATGTTCTGTGTCATTCTCAGAACGTTCTAAGAATGCCCCTTAGAAAACATCCCCCGAATGTAGCGATAAGTGCCTGCTCCACATTCTGACAACGTTGATAGAATGCTCTTACATAAATTTGCAACGTTCCAAGAATGTTGCCTATGTTCTTTTGAACATTCCCGGAATGTTCTCAGAACGTTCTTGTGCTACGTGGGTACTTTGATCTATTTTCTAAATATTTAATAAAATCGGAAGAGTAGAGTACCTTGTCAAAAACAAAGCTCGACCTACATTAACGACAGGCTAAGCCAGTTTGGCCGTGAGCAAATGTTTGCGTGGTTACGCGCTGTTTCAAGACAGGTTCAAACTGCGCATGATGGCGCGTGTAGACTAGATAAAATAATTTGACAATTTCCTTTGGAATGATTGTTCGCCTACCTGTCGGTGTTGAATGAAGACAATCTTCATTATGAAAACATGGGTTATGATTGCCGCTATTGTGTCGATAGACCGCTTTACTGAAAGAGGGCGAGAAGAGGAGAAAGGGCTGCCGGCGCTTTCCCCCTTGCTGGTGCGTTAGAAAGAGTGAAAGTTTTGGATGAGAGGCTTCACAGGTGTTGGGTGTGTGTATTGCCCGAACTGCAGTAGAGCCAGACACACAGGATCGTGGTGTTGGAGGCGCAAATATTATCTCTTCTCCGCAGTGTAGCTGTGGCTATAGTTCGTTGCAACACAAGCAGGTAGGGCGAGGAAAAGGAAGTTCGGGGAGGAGGAAGCAGACGGAACGCTGGAAAGGAGGATGTTTCCCCCTCTCCTCTCAAGCGTTTCGTCTGCTTCTTCCTCACCAGCCTTCCTTTCCCTCGCCCTACCTTTTTGAGCTAGCTGTCCGGACATGGTCGGCATTCAATACGATAACTGAAAATTCGTACACGGTTACCACAAGAAAAAAAAAAGGCGACGTTCACACGACGTGGTACATTTAGACAGCGACAGCAAGGTCATGATGTGTTTTTGCCACAAAATGTGGCGAGGAAACTAAATTGGTGCATAGGTCACATGATGTCAATTTTTCCGGTAAATTTAACGGATAAATTGAATTGGTGCATAGGTCCTGTGACATAAATATTTCCACTAAATTTAGCGGGGAACTTGAGTTTGTCTGCAGGTCTCGTGACGTCAGGTTATGTGACATCAATTTTCCCGTCAAATTTGGCGGGAAACTGAATTGGGTGCAAAAGGTCACGCGACAAATTTTGTCAAATGACAAATTTTTCCAGCAAATTTAGCGGGGAAACTGACTTTGTGCATTGGTCAGATGACGTCAATTTTTCCGCTAAATTGAGCGGGGAAACTTAATTTGTTTATGCTCACGCCGTCACAAAATCGAAAAACAACCCACTAACAAATGTCGCAGTTAAAAAAAAAAAAAAAAGAGGGACAAGAGGAGATTGCAGAAAGACAAACAGAAGCACAGGCTTCGAGCTCATCTGTGTGCATCTTCTACTTCTTTGCGAGAAGAAGTGCAATGACACTAAACAACATCCGTGAAATCTACACACGTCACACTGATTCTCTGACCAAATAGTCAAACTCCTTTCGAGATAACCAGTTAACAAGAGAAATTAGCGCGGTAGAAAAGTTCACGTGGCTAGGAGATGGATGTCGGCACCCCTTCGTCAGGGGTGAAGATCCGCCCCTGCCAAACTCCTTTCAAGCTCGCTCGTCGCTTGTACCTTTGCATTAATTGCATTATCATCAGAACCTTAAAATTCAGGCCGTTCAGCCTTGTTGGTGTTTGACTGGTGGCAGCTGATAAATACCCGTTTGCTCTACTGATGTCTAAAGGTGCATTTACACGGGCAATGTGCACCACTCGCGCGATAACTTTCCTTGCAAAAGTGACCATCGCGGGAAAAAAAGCGACACATTTCGAGCAGTCTGTAGCCAACCTGACTTTTTGCGATGCGATCTAGTCAGGGAGGGGCTGAGCCAATCAGCGGCATTCGAAGTGAGAGTTTTCGAGAAGCAACTCGCTCATTGCGCACGCCAGTGTGACCATCCAATTTTTTTGTGATGGGATTTAGTCATATCGCATGAGTGCTCCACATTGCCAGTGAGAATGTGCCTTAATAACCAGTCTTGGGCAGTAACGCGTTACTGTAACTTTGTTACTTTTTCGGTCACTTCTAACTGTAACGAGTTACTTTTTAAAAATGTAACTTGTAACTGTAGTTCTATTACATTTTCTGAGGTAACGATGAAAGTAAAAATGTTACTTTTGTCATTATTTTCCAGTGTTTTATGAATAATATATCACTGAACGAGTGCAATTTAGCCATTCCTTGCACTTTCCAAATAGTCTATTCCGACATTTCGAGTGTCAAGTTGGCCTTGCACAAAGTTGTGAATACATTCTTTCTCACGAGTCACGACCCGAATATAGCCACGTGTAGATTTTATGAAAAAATATCTAGTTATCTTTACGCACGTGCTTGTACTTTGTGACTGAACACTTACATCTTAGTGTCTTGAAGCACTATCTATGTTGTGGTTTTTCTTTTTCCTGTGCAAACGCGTTTTGATCGGGTGAATCAACCGTGAAACAACAATACACGTGGAGGGCACTGCGCATGTCTCGTATTTTGATTAGCGCCACTACTCCGCACTGCGCATGTTTCGTATTTTGATTTGCGCCACTACTCTGGCATGGAAACTTTCAAACACTAACTTCGAGAAGCAACTGCTGCTAAGTTACAATATAAAGTAAAAGCATACTTTTTAATTTTATGCAATAAAACGTTGTGAAAAGCGTTTTTTCTAATTTTTTTTTTGTTATAGAAAAGTAACTGAGGAGTAACGTCATTACTTTTTAAAAGTAACTAACTGTAACGAGTTACTCTTTTGTTGCGGTAACTGTAATGGTAACTTCACTACTTTTTTCTGAAAGTAACTGCAACTGTAACGAATTACTTTTTAAAAGTAACTTACCCAAGACTGTTAATAACTCCTGCTTAGCTCAGTTGGTAGACCACTCCATTGAAAATGGAGAGGTCCCTGGTTCGATACCAGGACCAGACATATTTTTTCGGTCGTGTGCCAGTAGCCATGCTGTGTATAAAGATTTGTGTTTGTCCTTTGTCCCCCTTGTTCCTCTTCTCCAGGGATTATTATCATTATTGTACAGCTCGCTTGCACCTCTGCATTAATTGCATTATCCCAATTTCGGTATTGCAGAGCGAGGCTAACTTCTGACGCAATGTTAATATAAATTCGTCAAATTTTGGTGAGATACTGCAAAAGCCTTTTTTTTTCGCAGCCCCCATTTTTTGCGAATTGGTCACAAAGGTCATAAGCACCACCACTGAATGTCGCAAATTCCAGATGCCTGCATTAAAACCCTTAATACAGAAATTTTCGCATGCACTTAAATTTCGAGAATTTTTCCATCCGCAAAAGTTAAGGGCTTGCCAACATTAAGGGTTTTACAGTATATCAGAACGTTGCTGGCTGAGCACTTTGAAGCAAATGACACAACAATTGTATCACTGGCTGCGCTGCCAAAAATACGTATCCACTGATTCCGTGCCACGGGTTGCGCAGGTTCCTTCCGATTTGTCCGCTTCCTACACAGTTGTGGGTAGTCACCATATTGACTAGTATGGGAAATAGATATAAAAAAGCTTATTAAATTGCAAAGTTGTTAGCAAAAAACAAAAAAAACAACTAAAGTTGGGGTTGAGATTGAAGGTGAATAAAACATGCCTAACAGCAAGGAAGTTTAAACTAGGAGGTGCAGGTGTGATGTCAGTGTGTAGGACGGAAGAGCATATTTTCATTCTCTTCTGTTCACACCACAACTCTCCCTCGACTCTCGCGGTTTCCCTTTCACGTGCTCCTTCTGTTCTCGTACATTCTCGATCGGTTTGCGAGGGTTTTTCCTTTCTATCAATGCTATCCCTCTCTCTCTTTCATGGGCGACATGCTTCTGCTACACTCTCCACTAAAGGTCTGCTCCTCTGATTTAATTTCCTTGCCTAACAGAGCCTAAATTAAAAAAAACCTTCACTACTGCTTTCTCATCCCAGTACAAACTTCTTGCAGAAGGCGTTTGCGAGAACCTGCTCCGATCCCGAAGAGCTGATGGAGGGTCTCTGAGGTCTTTCCTGCACCGACAGCTGCAGCAAGCCCTTCCTGGTGTGCCCCTGTCTGAGGACATCTTTCGGTGTCTCCTGGGCCAGTTGGGACACTGGCCAACCCCAGAACTGTCCACGGCCATGGACCATCTGATTCGCTTAGCTGAAGCACAGAGGTTCCCCGTCTTTGGCAGTGGTGGACCCTCCCAGGCCCAGGTGGTGTTGCTCTTGTGGCTTCCCCCAGCCGTACCTCCTGCACAGGCACAACGATCCCGGACTGCAGCCCGTTTGCTGCTTTCCCGGGCGATGCCTACACACTTGGTGCACAGCTACGAGGCCCTCCTGCAACAGGCTCGACGGTCGACAGCTGTCCGCATTGTGGCTCAGAGTTTGACAGAACACGTCTTTGACTGCCATCGACCAACCCCCAGCGAGAAAGAGCTGTCCAATCTACCGGTGCCCGTCCTTCGCAATGTGCTGCCCATTTTAAGCTACCTTGCTAGCCTTCGGTCGTGTCCACCTTTGGGAAAACTTTGGGGCCCTTCCAGGGGTATTGTGGCTGCCAGCTGGTCGGGTGATATTTCTCCACACATCGTTTTGGACCAAGGCAACCAGGTGGAAGTGCTGCTTGACCAGGGCTATCCAAAACTGCTAAGTTTGCAACAGAATGATGCTGCCGATTATGCGCGTGCACGTACTCTCGAGAAACTGCGTGCCTACAATGACATGCTGCACTTTATCCAGGAGTCCATGAACAATTCTACCTTGTCTTCCCTATCAATACAGCTCCTACTGAAAATCGGCATTGACCTTGCTGGCAGCTGTCAGCCCCCAAAGAGCAGTGTCTTGCTGCTGCAGAACATCTTGTCACAACTGGTGCACCACCAGGTAGCTACCAAAGAAGACCATCGCATCTTGAGCCAGCTTCTGTCAGTGTTCCAGCATAGGCAAGAGTGCACCAAGGTTGGCATTCGAGACCTTGTGAATGCCCATGATTATCTGGTGCCTCAGTTGCTTGAAGACTTCCGGAAGAGTGTCCTCTTTGAGTCACCAGGCGTACGTGCCTACCTGGTCACAGAACTTGCTGTCTATGCAAAGATGGCATACCAGTTACCTCCCGATAGAAGGGCTGCCCTTCTTGGAGTGGCAACAGCATTACTCACTATCAGCTGGCCTCCTGGTAAGGTGCTGGATCTGCTCATTGACAGTGCATCACTACTGCAAGTCAGCCATGTCAGCCTCCAACTTGCCCACAAGATGATTCCAGCTCTCATGCTGATCCACACAAGGCCCTATTATGAGTGGCTTTCGCCAGAGCGCAAAAACTACCTGTATATGACCCTGCTTCGACTGATTGAAGAGCTAGATGGAATGGATGAAACCATGCTAACAGCCATCGAGGGTGTAATGGCCAGCACATGTGACAAGCTCAACTTGGTGAGCGTCTTGTTCCGCATGCTCCGAGCTCCCACCATAAGCAGCAAGGTATTTTCGTATATTGAGTGCCTCATCCTCTACTTGCTAAAGGCTCAGCCTGGACTGACGATTAATATTCAGACAGTCATTCTGCCCACTATGACTACAGGGCCCTGCCATCCAAGTAAGAATATCACGACTGAAGGAACTACTGCAATAACTACAACTGAAACTACGACTTTAACACGAACTGAGTCTACAGTAACTATGGAAACACCTGAAACAACCCCTTCATCCACAACCTCGCCAGAGACAACACGCACATCTCCAGAAACCATCACAGCCACACCTATAGCAAATACTACTACCTCAATTCAAACGTCATCAGAGTCATCTACTGCAACATATACAAAAAGTATAACTAAAATACCTACAACCCCATACGAAGAAGCTCCAACAGAAGCACCATCCACACTGCCCAGAGAAACCCCTACAGCAACCCCTTCAATAGAAACAACTCCCTTCACTGGAAATCCAACCATGACTGAGTTCTCCACAGCAACAACGTCGTCTGCCACATCAGAAGTAACTCCCACTGAAACTCCATCACCAACAGTGTCCACATCCACACTAACCCCTACAGCAACATCCTCAAAAGAAAGTACAGTGGAAACACCATGGGGGCCTACATCTACGACTGTCACAGTAACAACACCTCCAATGTCCGAAAAAACACCTATACCCACAGTGTCTCCTACAGCAACACCCTCAGTTGTGACACCACCACAGACTTCTGTAGAAACACCTACAGGGACACCCTCAATAGCAACACCACCACAGACTTCTATAGGGATGTCTACAGCAACGTCCTCGGTTGTAACTCCTTCGCAGATGTCTACAGCAACACCTTCAAGTCAAGGCCAAACTCAAGCATCTATGCCAACAGCCACTCCCTCAGAGACGTCTAGCGTTACAGAGACTCCTACGGGCACACCCTCAGTTGTAACTTCGTCGCAAGTATCGACTCCTACGGTGACACCTATGAAACCCACTTTTGAAACTACCCCAAGGAAAACACCTACATCAACAGGGACACCTACAGCAACACCCACAGAGGAAACAACACCTGGGAAAACATCCACGTCCACAGAGACACCTACAGCTACACCCTCAGTAGAAACACCTGGGAACACATCCACAGGGATGCCTACAGGAACACCCTCAGTAGAAACTACACCTGCAAAAACATCTACAGCAACATCATTAGAAACTACACCTGGGGAAACACCCACATCTACAGGGACACCTACCACAACACCTTCAGTGGAAACTACAACTTGGAGAATATCCACAGAGATACCTACAGGAACACCATCAGTAAAAACCACAGTGGAAGAAACATCCATATCCACAGGGTCACCTACAGGAACACCCTCAGTAGAAACTACACCCGAGAAAACATCTACATCTACGGGGATGCCTACAGCAACACCCTCCGTGGAAACTACACCTCAGAAAACATCCACAGGGACGCCTACAGGAACACCGTCGGAAACTATATCTATCAAAACATCCACAGGGATGCCTACGGGAACACCCTCAGTAGAAACTACACCCAAGGAAACATCCACATCCGTAGGGATACCTACAGGAACACCGTCAGCTGAAACTACGTCTGGAAAAACATCCACATCCACAAGGTCACCTACAGGAACCCCCTCAGTAGAAACTACATCTGAGAAAACATCCATAGAGATGCCTACAGCAACACCCTCAGTGGAAACTACACCCGAGAAAACATCCACATCCAGAGGTGTGCCTACAGGAACACCATCAGAAACTACACCTAGTAAATCATCATCTACAGGAACATTCTCAGAAGAAACTACACCTGGGAAAACATCCACATCTACAGGAACATCCCCAGGAGGAACTACACCTGGGAAAACATCCACCGGAACACCTTCAATAGAGACTACACCTGGGAAAACATCCACAACTACAGGGACACCTACAGCAACAGCCTCAGTAGAAACTACACCTGGGAAAACATCCACGTCCACAAAGGTGCCTACAGGAACACCTCCGGTAGAATCACCCGGGAAAACATCCACATCCACAAGGGAACCTACAGCAACACCCTCTGGTGCCAACACATCAAAGACGCCACCAATTATAGGAACACCTACAGCAACACCTTCATCAGAGACAAAATCAACTACTACAGAAACTTCCTCAGGTTCAACTACACCAGGAAATGCATCCACAGGAACACCCACTGCAACACCCCCAACTGGATCTCCTTCACAGATGTCCACATCCAAAGGAACTCCTACAGCGACACCCTCTGCAATGTCGTCGAATACGCCATCTTCATCTCCTTCTGCAGCAACACCCCCCGGACTAACTCCGTCAAAGACCCCATCTGTGTCAATCAGAACTCCTACAGCCACACCCTCAGTTGAAACTCCATCAAATGGATCTACCTTCTCAGGGACACCAAATTTCACTACTTCACCATTGCCATCAGTAACACACCACGGTACCACTCCCTCGCATATTGACAGTAAGGGAAGCACACCTCCAGTGGAAACAACACCTCTTGTAACTGTGGTTACAACGGAGAGCATCACAGAAATGGGAACTACAGAGATCACGATACCGACACCATCTCAAGCAACCCATGTTTTTACAGTTCCTATGTACCCCCCTGAAGGTGTCCCCATCAGGTTCAATATAGAAAAAATATCGCACCACATCACTCATGTCAATGAATCAGACAGCAATATCCTTGAAATCATACAAATGCTTTTCAATCAAACTCATGACAAGAATATCACTCTTGTTATAAAGGACGCTGAAAATATTACATCCCAGCACCCAGAGATTGTGATTGCCGTGGAGGAGAAGGTTATACTAGTTATTGTTGAAGCACTAACAAACGCTCAATTAACCGGAGAATTAGAAGAGAAAACAGAATACTTGGTACGTGAGCTTTACAAGATACTTGTAACAGGAGGCAATTTTAGACTGGAGGTGCTACAGAAGGTTCTCACACTAGAAATGACAGGCACACTCAAAACAAAAATCTTAAACATCCTTATAAATCGAACCATCAATGGAACTGTAGAAGGAGTACACATGGTACTCGAGATCCTGATACCTTATTTGGCAGTGCATCACGTTTCTGGAATTTCTACGCGAGAATTCATTCACTTGGTGGTGCAGTATGTGCAGACAACCAACAGAACCCAAATTAATAAAGATTTGAGGCATTTCATTATTGAAATCCTAGAAGACCTCATCAACAGTCCACAAGTGAGCGAGAATGACAAACGACAGCTGAAGATCATCTTGGAAACTCTTCTTCGTGAAACTACCACAACCCACACAGGCTTTGCACCTATTTTAACTTACCTGAAGGATACAAGGGCTCCACTATCCCTCGACCTCCTTCTTTCCATACACCCCAACTGGAAAGGAATCTCACGAGAGTCGTTCTTGACAGTTCAGAGGTTGGCAGAAGTGCTAAACACATCCAATGGCAATCCTTTAATAGTTGGAAATGTTGTGGCACTACTTCTGCGGTTAGTCAGCACCAACCATATACCACGAACAAAAATTGGCCCTATGCTTTCCAGTTTGCACTCCATTGTCACTAGAACAGACCTAATAGCACCTCATTTGAGGTTGACTGTGCTCACAGACTGTTTGACTCTCTATGGCAATGAAGCTTTCCAATATCTGTCTCCTGCTGCTCGAGTAACTGTGCTCAACACAATCCTTGCTTTGGTGCATGAAAAGGTCGACGACTATGTGGTCAGTCAAGTGCTGAATTATGGATGGACGTACAAGGAGCGTAGTGATATCTTTGTTCCACTGCTCCGAGATGTGGAGAACTTCAACCTGCCAGTGAATAGCCTTCGAGAGATCAACCAGATCTTGCTAGTTGTGGCAGCAGTCACAGCAAATAACCCAACGCTGCAGAAAGAGCTGTCCACCATTGCCAGCAAACTCAACTCTAATCGACCTGAGAAATCGAAATACCCGCGTTCAATAAAGTACATCATTGATATCCTACTTAACAGGAAACCTCTCCAGGTATCTAGCATCCCACGGGGTGATATCACGGTGCTGTCCTACGTCCACTGGCCTATGCGTCAGCTACTCCCAAAGCAGATTGATAGCCTTCCAAAGGAGGTGGAAGACCATGACTTCAAGATAGACCACCTCACGAGTGAGCTCTCTCGGGATCTTTACTTTGTAGCCCTTGATCCTGCAGTACGAGGCAATCTCGTGGTGGTTGCTATGCGTTTACTCACCACTGACCAGATGACTGTCACCCTGGTTGAAAAGCTTCTCGGTGCCACGCACCAAGGTGTTGCTTTGAGACCCACATTGTCGACCAGCAACAAACTGTCTCTCCTACAAGACATCCCAGTTGTCATTACAAGGCCCACCATTCGCTCTCTGCCACCCGAGCGAACAAACTTCCTCGGGAAGTTTCTTCACAATCTCATTCGCACAATGAAGCAGCTACCAAGGCCTATTCTGGAGACACTTATCAAGTTTGTACCTAATCAACATGCAGCTGCCTATGCCATACAGCTATCTTCAGACATTGCTTTTGCTCTTCTGCAGCATGATAATGTCAACGAGCAAGTGGAGCTTAGCAAGCAGCTGGCCAAGATCCTGGAAGACAAGGCTGAAAGCAGCACTGAGCGCTACAAAGTCATTCCTCTGTTGACAGACTTCAAAAACAAACTGTCCAGCTTGACTTCTAGTCGTCCTGCCCTGGCACCTGTTGTGCAGTACATCGAAGAAATTCTCCAAAGATTACACAATGAGCCCCAAAAGTCCACCAGTGCCCTGAGTGATCTGAAAGAATATCTTCAAAAACTCCCAGGAAATGTGTCTGTGGACATTGTACATAAAATGCTCGAAGATTTCTCGAGTTGGACCCCTGCCGACTTCAAGGCTCTTATAGGTCTGCTTCACGCCGCGCTTCCCAGAGCCGAGCACAAAGAGCCACCGCTCACAGGAAGCCTTACTATTGTGGCTATGAGACTGCTGAGACTCCACAACAATACAGACAGCACCGAGGAAGCACTAGTCAAGTTTGTGGACCTAATGCCTGTCAACAGCAGCCTCTTCCCAGAGCCACTCAAAACGGTGCTGGTGAGCGACATTCTTTTTGTGCTCGCCACCAAGATCTACAAGAGCTCCGAAAGTCACGTGAATGCTGAAACGCTCCTGCGCATGCTTGACGAAGTGCTGCACAGTCACATGAGCCCCGCAACTGCTAGCCTGGAGAGCGACTTCATCAAGGCTGTGGCCGCCTTTGTCGACAACAAGTTTGTGCTGAGACTTGTGAAGCGCGAGCTGCGCGTCCGCCTGGCGGACCTGCTCCAGCACTTGGACTTCCAGCACCTGATAATACCCATGGAGATCATTGTCAGCATTGACAAGCAGTTGCGCAAGGAGATGTGGACCATCGTCCGGAAGGTGCACACCACAACCGAAGAGCGCTCTTTGCTCCAATTCCTCCAATACCTCAAAACAGCCCACAGGGACGAGATTGTGCGCATGGACAATAGCAGCATGCAGAACCTTCACAAGGTGCTCCGGCCTTTGCCACCGAGGGCGCTGCACAACGTCATCACTGGTGTTGATGACGTCCTCACGCTTAACGGTGTCATCGTCCACAAGCAGTTGGCCGAGCAATTGCTCACCATTGTCCGGATAGCCACCCGCAGCCCGATGTTCCCGGCCAAGCTACTGCCCAAGGCCAAGGAGATCATGGAGAAGCTCGTGAAGAACCACATACAGCGCGAGATTTTCCGACGCCGTCCACACCTCTTCCCGTTGGCCATGTGAAAAGAACGAGGGTGCCATGAGGAAACAAGACGCCGGCTATGTTTGCACAATAAAGCTTTCAAGGGGCATTGACATGCTCCTTCACTAGTTCTTCTGTCCAGTTCAAACTCTGAAGCATGTGGTGGAAAAAGTAATAAATGAGGCAGGCTTTACGCTTAGAAAGAGCTCCATGTTTGACATCTACCAGTGTGTTACAAATCGCTCACTTGTGCAAGGGCACGATCCACAAAAAAAGCGCTTTCTTTAGGAGCCACTTTTGCTGTGTGATTTGGATCCCGCTTGAAAAACGACTGGATGGAGGCAATATTGTTCTGCGTTGCCTTTTCTGCGTCTTCATCCCTAAGGAAAAGACAAAAGTAGTTTTTCAGGTCTCTCAACTCGTTATCACATGACATTCTTACATCCTTCATACAGTACTGATCTACTAACTATTGCCCACTGCCTCTGTAATTTACAAATTAGATCAAATGGCAGATCATGCTCAATGAACATCTGGTGTTGACAATACACCACAGAATTAGATAAGTAAAGGACTCGGGACACAAAAGAAAAAAAACAACAACATAAATTATTCTTAATATACAATCTTCAGTGGTTACCTGATATACGTATACACCAAGTTTCACAATTTTTAAAAACTCTAGTAGTTACAAAATTATTGTTTACCGCTTTTCTTACTTTGAGGAAAAGGGGCGATTCTTCCAGATTTTCAAACACATTTTACTATTTTAAGAACTATTCAGCATATAGCTTATTATGATACATCAAAATGTAAGTTGCTATTTTGAAGGGAACTAGTTACCATAATGTATTGAAAAAGTTTCGTAAATTTAATTGTTGACCTTGCAATTTACACCAAAAAGAGAACAGAATGTTGAAAAATTTACAGATATATCAAAGCGTACTACATATACAGTGATGTGATTGGCCCAGAGTTATTTTGTAGCACCTTTTGGAGGGGGATTGGTGGCAGTGAGTTAGTGCACCACAACCTTTAGCACATGTATTGAAAGTTAGTGCTGCAGAACCCAGGAATCCTGGGTTTAATCCCCACTCCTGCCCTTTCAATCTGGATGAGCATCGTACCGACACGCGGTCACGAATCGTTACTGCCTGATGCGTGTATTAAAAACCCCAGGCTAGCAGTGGTTCTGCACTGGCTAAATCTGCCACCTACAGCTTAAACCAGTGTCGCCGCACTGCACTTTACATTGCATAAACAGGAATGTCTATTCTTTTAGATCCTTTTGGAGCAGTTAGAAGTCCATTATAGAGCAGCAAAAAGTGCTTTTGCAGCACAAGCACATACTTCATTTTTATTCATACTACTGCAAATACTATATGTCGAGATACATGTGTTGGCCTATCCAGCTAAAAAACATGCCTGCTTTGCCTTCACACTTCTGTGCAACCTTTTGTTAGCATCAACTGCACGGCAGGTTTGATTCCCTCAAATGCAAAACTAGCTGTTTAGTTGCACATAGAAGCACTAGGCATGGCAACAAGATGCTGATTGATGAAGGACAGTATGGACTGCTGTGAATGGTCATTTTAGGTATGAAATAAAATGTTAACCAAATAGTAGATTCCACTGAAATAATGTTAAATTATCTTGAGCACACAAATTGACATTTCATTAGGGGTGTGCGAATATCAACATTTTCGAATATGAATCGAATACGAAGTTAGCATCGAATATCGAATAGTCGAAGGCAGGTGCATTCATTTACAGCATTTTTATATTCTCATGCCAAAACTGCAGTTAATTTTTTTGCATGGCAACTTGTAATCTGAACGAGAATAAAAACACAAAAACGAAAATTCTCGTTGTAGGGAAGATTATAAGTTGTCATGCAGAAAAATCAACTGCTGCACATGTTCATTTAGGAGGCACTCCCTTCGAGTGGAAACTACACCTCCAGCCACAGAAAAAACTCTTACTCGGCACTGAAGTGGCAGGTATTGCCAGGTATTTTATGCAAAGCTTTGCCAGACTGAAATATCTTAAGGACCCGACAGTTCGCCACCACTCACACGGATCACTTTCTTTCTTTAGCAGTGCCTCCTCCTCATACACTACAACTTACCATTCTGAAGCTGAAACTACTTTGCTTTCCACTGCACTTTTGGCTAAGTGGTCAAATGCCTGCCAAACATCTGCTGACGGCATTCAGCCTTGCTCTCGTGACTGTGTTGCAGCTACCGGCTGGGTTTCTTCAGTAGCATCATATGAGGCTAGCTCTTGCAGCACCAGAGCTTTTAGCCATAATGATTTTTCCTTTTCGGCTTTAAAAATAGTTGACTTGAAGCGTGGGTCCAAGAACATAGCAAACCATGCTTCCTTGTCCTGCTCATACAGGGTGAACCCTGCCGTGATGGATCTTATCAGTTCTGCGGGAAATTCTGATGCCCCAGCACAGCTACCCAGACATTGGAGCGTACCGAAAATTATAGGAACTTGGGAAGACAAGGACAGACACTTCTCAGCACTGGCAATAACAGTGGCATCAAACAATGGCTTCAATAGTTGTACATATTCAGAAGTATCTTTCTACTATGATGAACCAAATCCATTGATGTCACAGTCCGAGGTAGCAAGCTCCACAGTGACTGCTGCATTGAGTTCCACTAGGCGAGACAACATTAGATACTGGCTACTCCATCTCGTCTCCACGTCTTGTACCAGATGTAATGCGTCCTTTCCCATCTTCTTTTGGCACTCCTCAAGCCTTTTCTGAGCTGATGAACTGTGCTTGTAATGTCCCACAATATGCCTCACTTTCTTGCACAGGCGATCAATAGCCGGCGAGCGGGATCTCGCGTAATTAATCGCCACTTGAAGTGTATGTGCGAAAGCACGCTCTTCCAGTCCACGGAAGTCTCCTTAACGGACCACGGATGTTGCGTCCGTTATCCATCACGGTGAACTTCGCACATTCATTGGGTATCTCCCAGTCACGGCATATTTTGTCCAGAATAGTTGCGATGTTCTGTCGAGTGTTCAGTGTGAACTGCTTCATCATGAATTTTGGAGTGGGAAGTTGGCAGGTGAAGCTCACGTAACTTTCGTTAGCGCACAATGTCCACATGTCGCTTGTGAAGGCAACAGCGGTAGTGCCGCCTTCAAAGGCACTGTTGAGCTCTGCTTTCACCTTCTTTCGGGTGTCGTCATACGTCCGCGGCACAAGCACGCGCGAGAGTGTAGAGCGGGATGGTAGGCGATAGTTGAGAACGGCTTCTGTCAGAAGTTCTTTGAAGCCGCGGTCTTCCACAATGCTGTGAATCAAGCGCCACCATGGCGGCCACCTTGTTTTATAGCGCTCGCACCCTCCTTTCTGGCAGGGGCTCCGTGCGGCGCACTAAGTCCGTCAGTGTCTGTTGATCTTTTCCTGGCGTACTAGCGGTAATCCCACGATACTCTTTCAACAACGCAGAATGTACTTTGAGATGGTTGACAAGGGGTGTTGTCGTACCTGTGGGCGTTTTAAGCGCTGACTCGCATGCCGTACATTGCGCCATTGATGCCGTCACCCTCGCAAAATATTTCCAAATGGCACTCCTCTTCGTTTTGGTGCCGTTTCCCATTTGTTCCTTCGCTTTGCAGACGGTTCCCGGCAATCACCTCCATCCGCCTTAACATGGGTGGGCAAACGCGAAAGTGAGTCACAAGGGAACAGAAACTCGCAGATTACCACTACCGATACCGGCACCACCAGTTTAGGCTGAAGCCGCCATGCAGCTATGTCGCTGTCAATGGGCCTTGCTTACAGTAACTGAAACTGAAAGCCAAACTTACGCTTGCAAATACGCTTTCAAATATTCTATTAATTTCGAATATTCGCGTTACGACGAATATTCGAAAAATACCAGAGACTTCGATTACGAATCGAATACGAATATTGAATGTATAGTATTCGATTCATATTTGAAATTTCGAATATTCACTCACCCTTACATTTCATTCAAGTTCTAAATGTTGTAATAAAACAAATTCTTAATTCAGATTTTAAAAAAAACAAAAATCTTTTGTCATTGAATTATGAACATTAATGACAATTTTTATGTAGAACTTCACGATAACAAAGATTGGCATGCTAACGATAAGTATGCCATCTTAAAACAATCCAGTCAAACTCGTTAAGGTTATTCCCAAGCTTCATTTTATTGACTGTACCTCAAACATATAAAACCTATATAAAGGTGACAACTAAACAAAAGTTGAAAAAAAAAAAAAAAAAAACCTACAAAGCATTTTATGTAAATCTTGCAAGTATTGTTGCTAAATCTCAAATTTGAAAAAAAAAAAAAAAAATATTGCCAGAATATTGCAGTTTATCATAAATAATAGTCGCAATTTTATTCAGAAGTTTCTACTGCAAACTAAGAGTCGTTACATTAACAATCACCAAGTTCCCTTTTTTTAAAAATATATCCGACACCTGCGTATTTCAGGGGAAGCTACGGTGCTTTTTGAAAAAAAAAAAGAGTTAGAAGTGAACTCTAGTTATTTTTACCCCGTGAACCCGAATACCCAAACCATTTGCTGCGCAAGTATTGTTAAACGCGAGAAAACGCGAAAGAAAGTCGCGGTACGTGACATCATCGACGGATCTTTTGGCTGCCCAAGGCTAGGGAGGCGGGGCTTCAGCCCTATTTTGAAATTGCTCTTATGGCTTTCTGGCACATTGCATTGAAATATAATTGTGATACACTGTTATTCTAAAGGCCAAATGAACGCAAATCAAGTGTTTTTTCTCAAATACAGAAGTGCCCCATCTTCCCTTTAACGACTCGCTCTGGGGGAGTACTTTCCCTTTAGCACGTGGGTGCAGTGCAGCAGAGCAAGATAAATAAAATCGTGATGCTTACTCCACAGTTGTCGCTCCACTGTAGTACAGAAGAGTGCGGTGAGGAGTGCACTCAACAAAGTTAACTTACCCGCTAGAGCAAACTGTGAACATAAGAAATATTACAAAAAGATTTCAAGTACTGTCAGTGCTTTACACCGACAGAGAGATAAAATAGAATAGTACATTATCTGTGGCTATAATTGAAAATACTGAAAATTCGCAGAGCCTACCATAACAATCCAAAAGTGTAGCGGGGCCTGAGCCATGATATTTTCAGTATTAATAAAGTGAAATCAAGTTGGGGGCACTGTTGGCAAAAATCCCTCCCATTTGCACTAAATGTAGCAGGGTAAGCCCTTTGGTGCAGTTTGGCGAAAATGGCGCAGCAATCACATCATTGCATATTATCCTAAATATGCAAAATGCGCCTCATACCCACTGCAGTGATGTGATTGGCCTAAGCCATTTTGGAGCACCTTTCAGAGCAGC